TTCCTGATTTGATCCAGTAAATATGGTTTGATTTTCTTTAAGTAACATACTTTAATGAAGAGAGGCAATCCGTAAAACCTAGCATAAAGAAATCAAGTACAGTAATGCAATGTTAAATAAAAGAATGAAAATAAAAAATGTGCAATGAAGAATAGGCATCTTCTGCCAGACTGCATTTGAGTTATGATACATGCCTTCTTAGAAGTACCTAATAAAGTAACGCTAACTTGGAAACTTAGTCAAGGGAGTGCATGGTTTATGACAATTCAATTCAATGAACTATTTATGGGTCTACTTTACTTTGCTGTGGGCATAAACAATTATTTTTATCTCTAAGCAGGTATCCTACAAGGAATAGATTTTTGATGCAATGAGAATTTATGATCTTTTGGTTTTGAATCGTTTAACGAAGTACTAAGTGTGCCACAAATACAGGTAAACCTTATCTCCCATGTTTTTATATAATATGTCAGTGAGTTATTCTAAAGAACTTATGTCTGTCAGAAAGAACAAAAATGTGCTTAATGAAAGGGTATCCCCTATGAAGTAGAATTCTATAATTCAGTTTTAGAGAGTGACAAAACCAGAAATAAGTGATAATCTCTCTGGAGAGTATTCAAATCACACTCATGAATCCAAGAATATGTATTTTTCCTTGTTTAAAAACACTTCAGAGAAATACTTGCTACTAGATCTTTTTTGTCTTCTCGACCTATCCAAAGGTGCAGAAGAAAATAAATGTCATTAAAGTGCATTTAATTAGACCCTTATGGGTGTCTGCAAACTCAGATCAGAAAAAATCTTAATAACTGCCTGCTTTCTCCCTGCAGCTTCAAAGTGCTTCTAATACATTCTTGCTGATCTTACAAGCAAGTTTAGATTTCATTCATCTGTTTTGTACAGTATGAAATTTAATATGCAGACCTCAAGAACTACGACGCATGCCTTTTTACATTTCCTGAAGAACTGAAGTTTACAGAAAATTTTCATTATAAAAATCACTGTTGATACATAAAGACCATTGAAAAAAAATTCTGGTAAGTCGTACACTCTGTCATTTCCAGTGTAATGATTAAATTAATAGAAGAGAATATTTATTGTAATAGATATAATTGTTGCATATGAGAAAATATATGTCATTTAATACATATGCATTCTATAAAATCTATGATGTATTATATATCCTATATTATTATACTATATATACATAATAATATCATATGAGAATGATATAGGTAACATAGCATGTATGATACATGATATAAAACATATGATGCAGAATATATAGCATATGAATCTTCATATTTATCTTTTATTATATATTATCATCCAGTTAATATTTTACTCAACACTTTGCACTTTGTCAAAATTCTATTATTATACATTAAATAATACTTCAGAAATTTCATATTGTTTTCTCAAAGTTTAATCTCCACTTCCCTAAGAGAATGTCATCACTTACTATCTTTGTCTTTATGATGTAAACTGGCTGAGAAAAATTACATTATTACCACTCTTATTAAAATATCAAAGTAAATGTTCCTTTTCAAGGTTTTTTGCTGTATCAACTGTTATATTCTGAAAGATTTTTTCTCTGAAATTGTTTCAGTCACAAACTGCTTCTTTCTGAAGTCAAATTCTATAATGCTGTCTGACATTACAACAATATTTCTCTGACATTCAGACTCTAACTTCTTGTGTTTGTTTTCGTGATATTTTACAGTTCTCTATTGCAGCATGTCTAGAAATATTGTGATTATTTAGCATTAGTGTGAAATTTTCCATCAATCTATCACTCAGACTAAGCAAGCATCAAATAAAGGCAGGCAAGGCAGTGGGTGTCAGAAATGTCTGTATGTTTTAATGATTCACCTGGGCAAGCTAGTTGGCTTCCATGTTTTAAGATTTGTGATAACTGGGGTCATGTTATTGAATTAATAGTAGTTGGGAACTTGAAGAGTGCTCAAAATGAAATTCTCCCCACTTGTTAGTGACTACATGAGCTGTAAATGCATCTGTTTCACTGTCGTTATCCTAGCCACAACAGAGGCCAGCTGCATCATAGGCTGCATGACCATGGCCAGTGAATTGAAAGAGAAGTTTATCCTCTTCTACTCAGCACTTGCAAGACAACATCTACATACTGCCTCCAATTTTAGGCCCTCCAGTCCAGGAAAAATATTGATAACAGAAGTGAGTATGGGGTGACCATCAGGATGTTTAGGTCTGGAACACTTTTCCTGACCTTCAGGCTGAGGGACCAGGGCTCGTTCAGCCTGGATGAGAGACAGCTTTGTGAGGGACCTGACAGCAGCCCCCAAAACCTAAGGGGGTTATCAAGACCATCAGGAAGATGGAGCCAGGCTCTTTGCATTGGTGTAATATGTGAGTATCAAAGACGATGAGTATAAGTTGAAACAACAGACTTTCAAGTTTGATCTAAGGAAAAAGAAATTCGCAATGAGGACAGCCAAGCAGCAGAGCAGGCTGTCCAGAAAAGCAGTGATGTCTCCATCCTTGGAGGCTTCAAGCCCCAATTTGACAAAGCCCTGAGAGACTTGGTCTGATCTTACAGCTGATCCTGCTATATGTTATAGACCTCCTTTGATGCTTTCCACTCTGAAATATATTATAATCCTATATCATACTCCATTATTTAACAGTCCTTTGATAGGTAGGATAAATGATCAACTCACAATTGGGTATCAGACAAATGAAAAAGAAGCATCCAACAGAGTTTTCTTATGTGTTATAAATTTTCATAATAAAATTAAAATGCACTGCTGTAATACACATCTGTTAACAAATCTTCCAGGCATAATTACCCTGACAAGTCACAGGAATGAAAGCAAAGATGACATAAAAATAAATACATACTAATTTATATTTATTTATCTATGCAGTGAACCTGAAAGTACGAATATATACTTCTTTACTGGTATTCGTTTCCTCTTACTCATAAAGGATGAAGAAATTTGAAAAGCAAACACAACATATGATGAAAGAGGAAAATCACATAATGAGTAAAAATAGTGATTTGTAAGTATTTGAAACAATAGTGAAGTTAATGTAAACTCATAAGGTAGCTTTTCATGGAAAGAAATGAGGCTTATTAAATATTTTAATCCTTTATTCAATTGTAGACAAAACCCTGCCCATTTAACTTTTCAGTAAAGATGTTTAGGATGATCCATACCATTGCTTCTCTTGACCTTTGATTACAAACAGCAGCAGTCAGAATTTTGTGCAATAGTTTGCTATTGAGCATAAACCAAATCTGTTCTCTTTGTCAATGAAGATGGAAATTAATGAAATCAGAAATGCCATAATAAATTTGGATATGTTTCTCCCAAGATATGAATTCCAGTTATGAACTCCCCTTCATATAATCCTTCATTCATAACAACTCAAATTGCATAAACCTACTGGATTTTGTACTTAAAATATTTGTTTGAAAACTATACTATTTATCTTCTCTATTGATATGTATCATCAAAGATAAATCTTTATAATTCTTACCTGGTTTGCACCAGCCCATGGAATTTTTTATTTTGCCTTTCTAATTACCAAAAGAACTGGATGAAATTTTTACAAAAATTTCCTTTTGCCTGTTTAGCAAACAATATTTAAAATTTATTGCAGTCAAAACCTATTGTTGTTTAGCAAAATTCTATAGTTGTTACTTACTGTCACCACGACAAAGCAAAGGCCCCAGTTTGTAAGCTGCTTCAGAATTTGGTCTGTCTGTATCCGTGATCACAATTTCAGTTACTGGTAGATGATCCTTGTAGGAGAGGAATCCAGTATCATTAGTCCTGAAAAGGTAAAATGAAAGCCACGGCACTCCTAAATGTTTCTGATAAACATTTCATTATCATTGACACATTACTGGGGAAAAGGAAAGAATTAAATTCTGAAAAAAAGTGCTGCATGGCTCTAAGGGTAATAAAAGCAACCGTGAACACAAAAGTATGCTTTGGTATTGATAGCGTGATTATTTGACAGGACTGAAACAATTTCATGGCAAGTGGGCAGTTTTGTGGTTATGCTTGTCTGCATTAGAGTGAGAAAACTCTTTTTGACATAAATGGGTGCCTAACTGGCTGCCTACTCTAATGTATTTGCCCATTTTGGCAATTTCATGTTGCTGAGGACATACCATATCCATAATGACCTGTCTTTTCTTTATGGAATATTAAATGGTTTTGTATAATATTCAAATAAATCTAACTTTTTTTTTTCCTTTTTTACCTTGACAAAAGTTGAAAAAAAATGAATAGAAAAACAAAGTCATGCAAGAGTGTACAGGAAGACCAGCATATGCTTTTACGTAACTCAGAAAAAGAAATATGCAACCTAGCACTCAGATTACACACCCAGCACGAGTAATCTTAGACCAAACTCCTTGTTTAAAATCTTTGTTAACTTAGTGTCAGAACTGAAATTCTAAATTTCATAAGCACCAGTTTTGTTCCTAAAATTGCTTCCCCTGAACTCATGGAAATATTCAATCACTTAGGACTATTCTGGAAAATTCAATCTGTCCATTCAATCAATTTATTTAAATCTTCCCTTTAATGGGCAAAGCAAATAGCTCAGAGACGACAGAACAAACTCAGAGACAGGAGGCAATCTGGAACACACACTGCTTGGAGATTAAACGTGAGACACACACCTCAGCAAGCAAGCCACATTTCTCTGGGAACGTGGCTGGGCTTAGTAACTCCCTCTCTCAGTACACCATGCACAGGAAATGAGACAACAGGAAGAGATTTCTTCCTTATGCTGGAAGAAATTAATGATTTTTTTTTTTCTCTCCTTCCCCTTCCCTTTACTAACGTCAGCAGCCTTCCCCTGTAATACAATTTCTGTTTATCTGTCTTGAAGCACAGTGGACATAAATGTACAATGATGCTGCAAATAAAGGGAAACTGAATAGAAGCTAGCTTACCACTTCTGCAGAGAGGCTGTGCATTTTTGTAGTTCTCTAGGAACAGGTTTTTTAAAAATACTTTTTTATTTAAGACTTTCAGATGCTTAAAGATTTTGATTAGTCAAATAAGCAGGTTTAGAGCTAAATCTATGTACAATCTATGAAATAAGATAGATTTAATTATGAAAATACAATATCAAACCCATATTTTCAAAACAGCACTGTCTAATACTGGTTTTCTCTGCCCAGGAAACATCTCAAACAAGCACAGCTTCTACCTGCTTTTTCAGCCTTATGAACAGGATTAGGTCAACTGATTCAGTCCAGTAATCACTAGGGAACCCAATGTAACATTAAGCACAATTACCAAAATAAGTGTAAACTTGGCCTCTATAACACTGGAGTTACCGGGATAAACCTCCTCTTAACAAGAAAATTAAAATGTCAAAATACATACAGAAATATAAAACAAAGGTCATTACAGTTTCAATGTAATACCCTCATCAACATATGCAATTTCCTCAGAGTGGTTCTAGTGAAGACAAGCATGTCAGCCTCTATCTACTTTATTTGCAAGTATGCTACCATTATGAATTAATCTATGTATAAGAGCATGGATTAAATGAATGACAATATTGGGCAAGAATGTATTACATATACTAGCAACTATTCAAAATCCTGTCTCAAAATGCATTCATCTTTTAACACTTATTTTGCTATTTGGAATAAAAAATTGTAATTTTGTACAGCACAGTAATAGGGAAATTCCTAGTGTTCTGCGTATTTGTTTTCTCTCTTTATTGGAATGACCACAGCAGATATCATTTTGTGAGTTTTACTGCAGATACAAATTATTTTCCTACAGAAACTTTTGAAGCTTGTGAAGAATTGTTCTTTGACTAACCCTTTGTTGTATTTTCATTTTTGTATCTGCTGAGTTCTGTGCTCATGATGAGAGAATAAACATTTTCCAACCAAATTCACTAGTTGTTTCTTTAAAGGAAGGGTAGATATCTACCCTGAGGGGAAAATAATGTAATGCTTCATTTTGTACACATGAAGATGTTCCTAAATACCTTCCTTTCGTTTTTCTATTTTCAAAAAACAGATATTGAGATTTATTAACATGTATATATTAAACTACTCATTGAATCAGATTTTTTATAAATACTTTTATTTAAAAAAATAAAATATTCATTTAATAAATATTTTAAATTTAATTTATTTTAAATATTTTAATTTTAATTTTAATTTATTTAATATTTAACTTAAATTAAAATAAATATTTATTTTTATAAATACTTTTTTTATATATACTTTACATATGTAAAAGCAGGAAAATTTTCATTTGAAAAGTCCCTGCCTGCTTTACAAAGTCCTACACTGCACAGGAGCTATCCTTGAGAAAGTTGTATCCGATCGTCTTCAGTGAAAAGTCAGGCTCAGATTTGGCGTTGTAACAGGAACTCATCTGTTACGTTACTTGTTTGAATGGGGTCATAAATAACATCAGAGTATTTGAAGTACAAATTGAAGATCTACAGCTTAGAAATCCTTCGATTCCCTTAGAACAGGATTCTATATGAATGTTTCACTTCGTTGATAGCAAAGGTGTCCAATTTTAACTACCTAAGTTGTGGAAGACAAAAATAAGAAGTCTAAACTTAAAAGTGTAGTGAAAAATTATGCTAAAAATTAACCGAGTGTTTTCCAGAACATTTTATTTTAACTTTTATTACTTTCAATATTCTAAAACTAACTGAAGTTGTACTAAAGACCAGAGCTAATGTCCTAATACATACCATGTAATATACTAAAAAAATAGTAAGTATGTACATAAAAATAAACCTTCCCTGGAATTCAGAGTGAAGAATTAACAAAAATACTTAATGTGCATAGTTAGAATTTTTTGAGAAGAAGTGTTCTATATCAAATAAGCAGGTGACACTATGGTAATTTAAATTTACAACAGCCTCTAAATGTGATCAGGCCTGTATATTTTCTTTATTTACTTTCTAGGAAAAATTATTGTGAATAAGCAACAATAAAAAGTCACCATTCATCTCTGTCCGCATCACAGTTGCAGTAATGCTGGGAATCAATGCAGCTCCCCTCTAATCCACAAGCACATCTTTGTACAGCAGGCAAGGAACCTCCCCAGTAAGTTTGTGTTTCATTGGTTCTTCCAATCCACCAGCTCAGTGGCATCCCATCTAAAAAGTAGGTTAGAGAAAATCAATGTCCAGTCTTGTCTCCTGCCTCTCCCAGTTTTTCTCATCCAAATAAGTCTCCAAAAGGTTATTCAGAGAAAAATCACACCTCAAATCTAAAAACTTTAAACAATAATTGGAAAAAAAAAATGACTACCTTTACCTGATAAGTAATTATTCATTTTAATGTTTCATTATCAGTTATTAAATGATTGTCACAGTTTTTTGCTTGCATTAGTGGAAAAGGGAACTCATAGTCTCTAGCTCAGCCAGCCATGATATTAGAATCATTTATCTTAAGCAGTCCATTTATATAATTCGTTTTAAAACGGTCTATGAAAAAGGAGATACCATCATCCTAAAAATCAAGGTAGTTTATATTCCCAAGTAAAGATCAATTTCAGATCATGGAACTATCAGCAATAGAATGAGAAGAGTTAGAGAAAAGCTATGCAGGAATGGTCTCATCCCCCTACCAAGAGTACTACAGAGTACTACTACCCATATCTGTGACAAACATTAAGCAGCTGAGTAATGGCATTAATCAGAAATGCTCAAAGACAGCTACTAGGTTACAGGCAGCAGATTCAGAACTTATATACTCAGAGACAGCAGAAATCATGTTAATGGTGCTCCCATAAGCAAGTTGATGTGTCTGGTGAGCAGCCGTGAGGCTTCCCAGGACTATTTCATCTCTCTGTGGTGCATCCAGTCAGCATTGTTTGAAGCAAAATGATAAACCTGGAAGTTTCTTTAATGTTACAGTACTGCAGATTAAGCTTAAAGATGCTGCCAAGCAAGCACAGCAACAAAAATATATACAGAACAGTTAATAGCTAGAAGATATGAAGCATAAAGATAAACCATCTGAAATGAGAAGGAAGAAGGGTGACAGATGCAATGCGTGAAAGAGAAGGCATGAGAAGAAATCAAGTGCTGTTAAATTATAGAGTTTCTTATAGATGCATTTTTTTTGCTGTTGTTGGAGCTCCAAGTTTTCAGCAGCAGGCCCCCACGAAGAAGCTGGAATTTATCCTAGCCTCAACTTTGCTTACAACTGCCACTGCTTATTAAACCTCACTGTTAGATAAGACCTCTGTTATGCTGACAATTTCTCAGATTGTAAACATATTGACTGCATTCATTACCACACAACTGTCAGCCCAGCAGGCCAAAAAACAGTGCGAGCAGTTTCTGGAAAAGTCAAACTTGCATAATGGCATCAATGTCCAATATCAGTGTTTGTGTTTGCAAGCCCTCACAGGAGGAAGAAAACCTAGAGAGACAGTTTATAAATAATTTATCAGACAACACTTTAAAAAGCTTCCAGTAACTAAAACTGTGAAAAGTAGAACATTTCTGCTGTTTCAACAGCATGCCTTAGCTTTGTATTATAGTCATGAATTAATATTCCCAGTCTTTCACTGGGGACATTGGGGTATGTTTAAAAGCTGGGCTCAGTAATTTGTTCATACAGCAGGGTGAGGAGAGAGTATTTACTGAAATGCTGCAAGCTCATGCTGATTAGCCCAGATCGTTATCCCCGCTTTGGCAGAAAATATTGCCTAAGCAAAACAAAGCTATTAATTAAAATGGCTAGAGATTTCTTCATAATGATCACATAAATGTATTAACAGGTGACTTCTTTAATGACATTATTTGCAAATGTTATCCAGGCTGATTGAATAGAATGTATTCTTAAAATACAGTCAGTTAAGAATTACTATGAGGACTGCATGTTCCAAAAAATATTTTGTGTGACTATCATCAAATTTTGTACTTGTTAGACGCAGCTAGTGAAGATTATATATCGCAGAAGTGGGAGGGATTAAATTGTGAAGGTAATTTGATAATGTACTTATTTGCATTTCAAATTCTGATATTTCGTTATGCTTGTAATAAATGAAAAATAACCAATTTATTTTGGTAAAATGTTATTTAAATTTTGTTTCTATGTTGGGTATGCTTCAGTTATTAACTATGTGTGATTGATGGCTTTTTGTTTGTTTTGTAATACTGACTATAAAATCATTTAAAGAAACATGCTTAAAAATCAGCAAGTAAATACATAGAAGTAATCTTAAACAGGAAAACTTGATGAAGACTATCTTCAGATGCTCAACAGATGAAATAATTACTAAGTCACTAAGTCCAAAATTTCAAATTAGATCACTTTACATTCCAAAACTTCTCTCAAGTTTTTAAAGCATTTATATTCCAAACACAATTCCTTTTTAAGTCTCTGAGCTCTTCTAAATAGGCTAGGCATCCAGTAAAAAATAACTATAATTCACACTTAAAATGGTAACATCCTTACAGAAGTTTCTAATGAAACTTCTAAAGTTTGTATTACTAGGTCACACTGAGACTAAAAGTTAGAATGCATACCTGCTGGACCAAGTTGGAAATTATATGTTTCACATAAAAATAGGTGAGAAATATATTTCCAAAGCTCTCAAAAACCTAGAACTAGATTCTTTTGGTAACAGTTCTAAATTTGAAATTATCACTCTTCAGAGAAAACAAGTAGTACGTTCTGTCTTCTCTCCAGAACAATCAATGGAAAATATATCTTGAAGCAAAAAGACATGAAAACAAGAGGATTCCTAATTTTTTTTTTGTTTTCTTCCCCCAGCACTCTGATATCTAGGAGATAAAAGAAAGAAGTATTTCATGGGGTGACATGACCTTAAAATTTTCAAAAGATACTAGTGTTCTCCCTTTCCATGATATCAGCAAGTTCTAAGTTTATGTCTGTAGAAAGGAAAAACATGATAAATTGGCGGATATTTTCAAAACTTACTCTCACAACCTAAGAGACAAAAGCTCAGGGTTTACATTATGTTGTGTTCAAAACTTGAAAATATTTACTAGGCTAAAAATATTTTAGCATATATTCACAATATACTGACTGTTATCAGTGTAGATGCATCCTAGTTTTAAGTAGGGCTCATCTAGGCATTGCCAGTTTTGTTTAACAGTAGATAGGTTGACTGCTTCTAATACTGATCTCTAAATATTAGTGCTCCTAATACTAACCTCTAAAAAGGGCAAATCTAAACCCTGGAATGTAAAAATCTAAATTTTATTTTAAGGAAGTGATTTAATTAAGAATGCTAGAAAAAATAAGGCAAAATTAATGCATTCTCCACTAATACAGTTACAAAAATGTGGCTCTGTCTGCTTTCAAACAGAGAGGGAAACATAAACCTTAACTCTCTTTAATACGTGTTGTTATTTCATCTCCATACCACAAAACTCAGTGTTGCCTTTTTTAAGCAGTCTCACTGCAGAAGCCAAGACTGACCATCACTAGATACCAGCTTTCTCTTACCTCAGAGCTCCCTGTTTCAGAACAGTCTAAAGCCCATTCTTAAGAGGAAAGGAAAGTTGCATTTGGTACAATCTATGGTAGTGTTTAAGCAAAGAATGATTTTAGAAAATCTGTAGAACTAGCAAATAACTATCCCATGCTGATTTACTCCTAGCATTCAAAACTCAAAATTTTAGATGGCTTAATTGACTGATTGCACTCTTTTATCTTTCTAGAAAAACCTGCATTTGTGTACAATCTCATTGGATCATAACAAAAATAAAAAGTAGAAAGTCCTGTTTGCCTGGGCCTTTCCCTCTCATTTTTGCTTACTTAATTTTTTTCATAGTTTCCAGCTTGATCACTCTGCTGCAACTGGTGAGTTGAGAAGGTGGGGTTTGTTGCTTTTTGGTTTTGACTTAGTCTATGCAACAGTTAATAGCCAAATGATATGAAATACCTAGAGAGTACAATCTTGAAGCCCTCTGCTTTCAGTAAAACAGGCCTTTGAACATCTAACCACAACTTTATTTTGAAGTCCATAGGTAAAAAGGAGGCTCAGTCGGCCATCTTAAGCAGTAGGTTCATCTTTTATGCTGCAGAGATGTTTTCAAGCAGATATTCTGCCAAGAGCAGATTCTAGTCTAAGAAGTCCGGTGATGTCCATGGCATAATAGAGGAGAAAGGATATGTAAGGAAAGAGTTTAGAGACAGAACCAGGGACTGTTGCACTCAGAGGCCTGCTCTCTGCTTGTAAGGAAAGAATGCCAAGAAATCAATTTGAGCAGTTTCAGAGTTTTTGGTGGACAAGTCAAACAATTTCACTTAGTTTTTGAAAAGACAGCAAAAAATTACATTTTTACTTCTACAGTATTTGGAGTACTTAGAATGGATTTCCATGGTAATGTTTATTAACAAAAACTCTGTGTCAGCAAGAATTAAGATTTAAGTAGATTACATAATTTCATTTTTCTTTAAGTATGTCAGAGGTTCTCCATTCATTTTTCTCTTAAAATAATTATACTTTCATCAATAATCCACACTGTAACTATTGCTTTTTTCTATGAATGATTATATTGGACAATGGAAATTTAATGTTATTAATGCTTTTTCTCAAGCAATCACAATATGCACATTAAGTGTTTAAAAACATTCAGCAATAAATTTCTGCTGTATCTATGTACTAATTTGTGTTCTTTCAAGGAGGTATTTCCTCAGTAATTCCTTAATTAAAATTTAAAAATTCCTGGAAGATATACCGACAGCAGCTCTGTCGATAATAATCTCTGTTAATTTAAAAATCTTCTGAGAGAAATTAACTTTGAGAGCACTTAATTCTATGAATGAAGATCATTATAAACTGACTTTAGTGTTTTTCTGGTTCAAATACTTCTTGGCAACTTACTTACAATCTGAGTACTCCATATCTGATGTAGTTCAAACTCTGTAGTAGCAAAATGCCACAACCTTGATAGAAATAAATACCTTTAGTAGCCAGCAAAATAAAATGCACTATTCAACATAATAAGATTTGTCTGCTTTACTTACCTGGCTTATCTAAAAGCCTTGACTTTTTGCAGTGGTAAGCAAACTCTTGTTCACAGTGTTCTGCATGGTTAATTGTAGCCTGAAGCTGGTCTAAGCTGGCAGAGTATTTGAAAAACACATTGTGGGGATTCTCTCGATTAGCACTTTTGACTCTGGTTAGGTTGGTGTTGTTATGCTGTATAATTGTCCATGTGGTATCTTTCAAAACACATGTGAAAAATAAAAAAAGAATGAGAAACAGTTGCATAATTTGGTAATAGAAATAGAGCGTATGCTGAAATCAACCAAACTTTAAGGTGACTTCTTTGATCTTAAAAAGTGCTTTTGGGCATATGAAATAGAGATACAGATCACTAAGCAAAAATGAAAACAATTAATCATTGTTTCTATTTGCAAGTAGATTATCATACTGTGACTGTAACAAGTATTCAGTTTGTTATGATTGTTGAATAAGGAAACACTAAGTGACAACACTCAATTAATTGTCTCTGAAATAAGATACAGTTTACTTGGTAAATTACAATGAAAGAATAGAAAGAAATGATACTTACTATTGTTACTTTTTCCAGGCTTAAATAGTTTATAAAATAACACTAAATTTTATCTTAGATTCTAGCTACATTACATGTATCTCTACAGTTTGAATAAATTTATTCTGTGTCAGAAAACGGCCTACAGCCTTTATCCATTATATAAAGACGCAAAAGTTAGTTGCTAATATTGCATTTACTGCAAAACTCAAATTACATTCTAGCCATCTGAAATCAAGTAGTAGTCATTATCTGAAGTACTATTCAAAACCTGCATTTAGTCAAAGGTGAAGAATCACAGCTTCCAAAATTCAATAGAAAGTTGCTTCCAAACACCCAATGTCATATTAATTTATGACAACTCCATAGTATGCCCACTTGACTTGGTACTGTAACATGATGAAGTTCAGAACTGAGAGCTGCATTTCTCTAAAAAGCACATACTGTTCTAAAGTTGACTTTTAGCTCAGGTACTGCTTGATAAGGCAGCTACCTACCTCATTGCATTGTGTAGACAGGCCTCACGATTCATGTAAACTGGGGACACATAAAATATTGCCAGAATATTCCAGAAACAATTGAACTGTGTCTGCAAGATTTTTTTTCCATGAATCACTAGTAAATATTCAGTACTCCAAACATTATTTCTAGAGAAATACGTTCCCAAGCAATGCTCTTGTGATAAAAGAGCAGAAAAGACTTACCTATAAATACACATATAATTCAAATGGTTGAATAATAAACAATATATTGCATGTTTATAAAAGATGTGCGCTTAGATGTGCAGTCTGCTGTGAAACAGACTTCCTCCAACTTGGAGCCATGTTGCTCACACTAAGCAGCAAAGCAGTTCAATAGCTTTCTGGTTATATTGATGCTTCACAAATACTCTTTGATTAAAAGTCTTCTTTTAATTTCTACACCAATTTTAACAATTGTCCTGTACACTGAGACACAGGAAGGATGAAACTGGCTGACGCCATAGCACAGGAATGCATTGATCACTCTGGCCTATAATTTGCATACAAGGAAATATAACATCAGACACTCTCTTTGGGAGTACAGAAACTACTCCCTCCGTGTTCTTCAAAACATAATTTGCCTTAAATATTGGTGGCTGATAAAGGCTCATGTGATTCTGAGTTTTGTACTTTTGCCAAGCCCCCTCACCTATAAATAGAGAAGCACTGAGTTTACTCTCAACATCCTCTTGCAATGCCCAAGACAATCTGACCTCTATGACTAAAATCCACTTCAAGGTTGGGGTGAACAGGTCCAGTTAAAGCTGGTCTGGGCCAGTCAAGTCAAGCTTAGATTCATGTTCACCATATACATGTATATTAATGGCCAATGCAATTTGAGTAGATGTGAGAAATATTTTTTTTTTTTTCAACTTGTAGTATTAATGATAATATTTTTGATATTTTAATAGTAGTATTTATAACTATTTAACAGAGTTGTATTTTATTTCATTGGCTTCCTGAAGGCCATGCATGGCTGACATAATGAGATATTCATAGAGAGGAAAGAACTCATGGTCACTTAAAGAACAGCTATTCATCAGAAATTCTAAAGAAAATGTCAAGGTGAGATGCCTATCACTGTATTAAAAAGAGTCTGTTTATGTGACTTTTTCATTATTGTTTACCAGGTTTTGGTCAAATTTAAAATTTTATTAAGCACATGCTCATGATGTTAAAAAGCAGATGGCTGGAAATATAGTGAACTTTATTTTTGTACATACACATTCACACAGACACAAATATATCTAAAGGCTAAGCTGAACATAAAAATTAAGACAAACAGGTCAGTTATCAGACTCATTGTCGCACTAGCAAATTTACAAAGAAAAAGAAAAGCAAGTCACTGAAAAGTTTGGTCATCTTAATTGGCAGTGTGGACTGTAGGCTTTTTGTTCTGAAAAACCATGAAAAGGCACCTTCTTCCCAGCTGCCTGAAAATAGAGGCCCATGAATGTCAAAGACAAGACAGTGCTGTAAGAAACACGGTCATCTGTCATTCCTACCTCTGGCGGGAAAAGGAAATACCAGTCATGAGGAAACTGGGAACAAAACAAATATAGAAGATTCATTCTGTCAGGCTGCATCTTGAGAGGAAGAACTGATCAATGAGGTTTGCTTAATGTGGTGAATAAGGAGTGACTGAGGAAAACAGTAACAGCTGTTCATGGATACACAAGAATAAATCAGACACCACAGTGTACCTTGGAGGGTTATACACACTTAAAAAAATTGTCGTTTTTCTGCCATGATTCTTTGGTCTCTTTTAGCCTTACAGGATATTAAGATATTTCTTTCTAAGGGCCTGTGCCAATCTGAGGTGTGCCCACCATGAGCTAGCACAGTTCGCTGTAGAAGTCAAAGTCAGAAGCTGATATGGTGACACTAGTTAAATTGCACAGACTGAGAGAAATGACGAGAATTCTGTTTTTTCAACATCTATAATAAGTATTCTATAGATCACTGTGAAAATCAACTAATGCCACTGGCAGACAGAGTCCTGTCAGTTTCTCAAGAAATAGACATGATCATAAATTCAATACCTAATCCAAATTAAACTATAGCTTATTAATGTAAAATTTTAACAGATAAAACTATGTAAAAATATTTTTGTCACATAAAATCTTTTCAGAATTTTGACTTGAAAGCAATTCAAATAAACAAGAGGCTAAGTAAAAAAAAAAGGAAGCAACCACAAATAAACCAACAACAAATTTCAAAAAGCCATTTAAATGTAAGCTTCATTGAAAGGACATACACCAAGAGCTATACATAGAAAACATTAACTGTTTTCTTAAAAAGTAGACTGACAGCAAACTCTGATATCTAAAACTTCTAGTGATGTAAACAGTCAGATTCAAAGAAGTGGGTGTAGAAGAGGAGATAGGGTGCCTGAAAGTGAGTCTGAGAGAGTCCCACTGGTTGTATTTGCATTTACCAAAAGACTTACTTGCAGTTTGAAAAATGAGGCTTAATGTCTATATTCCTCATAACAAAGACCAGTTCTGAATTACAATTTTTCAGAAGGCTACTGGGAAAAATCAGTAATTTTCTCACAAAACACAACTTATTTCTCATTTCCTTAAATGTCCTCAAGAGACTCTAACTTCAATGAAAACAAAGCTGCTCCCCAAAAATGAACTAGTATGACATTGTCTCCATATGGAACACATGCCCCATTTTTGCAAATCACAACAGGAACACAGTGTTAACTTCACAGCCTGAATCCTGTTATTATTCTAATTTCTCTGTCTAATTCTTTGCCCAGTAGTCTGAGCTAAGGAGTCACCTTCATTTTACTGTGCATATATACATTAAACTCTTAAGCTACAGAGACTTCTTCATTGATAACTCATGTTTCAATACAATCTGCATGCATACGGACCCATTGGTGAGTTAAGGAAGTTGGTCACCTCACCTGTCATGTTACAGTATACAAGAAACGGTCCCAAGGGGCCACTTCCATCTGAATCAATATTGTAAAAGCCTGAAGTGTTCCCTCTGTGCTTATAGGCTTCACATGATTGCTCATAGATGGCTGCAAAAGAACACATTCTATCACAAATATAATTGCATAATTTTACATTTTATTCGGGGAATTTAAAAAGAAAATGTGTGGAGCCTGTCAATGGGGAAAAGAAGTTGTGTGTGTTCACTACTAAGGAATACGGAAAAAATCGCATCATCAAAACCATACTTTCACTTGAATTTGTAAAGCACATTTGGTTTTATTTATTGAGACAATCACAAGGGGCATTTTCAAGCATTTTCTTGCATATTTCAAGCTGGAAACTTCAGTAAGGAAATCATGTAATGCAGGTGAGTTAATGGTTCCAAAAACCGGCGAGTAATATGAATGCCAAGGGTATTACTTAACTCCTGATAATCGGATTTTGAGGAAAAAAATAATAACTACCTCTACCAAATCATATTGTTGTTGTTGTTGCTATTACATCCAACAGAAGGTAGGCAATGCTTCTAGATGTGCTGATTGTCTCCTAGTATTTTTTGGCTTTCACATTTTTTATTTTCTTCTCTTTTTAAATACAAGGGTAAATGACTTGTCAGAGACTGCATGAAAGAACTAAATAAGTAAAGACAAAATGACAGCTTCTCAATCTCATGTCACGTATACTTTATATCAGTCAAGGCCTAAAGAGAAGTCTGTGATGACCTCTGTATGATCAAAAATCCGGGAAAAAGGACTTATGCATCCATTTCTGTCCTTAAATATACAGGAGTCACTGATGATAATGCCAAATCTAGATCATGTTAGCCTAACTTCTCCTTTAACCATTAAATTGCTATTAAGCAGTCATACTATTCTGGTCTTTCTTTTCAAAACTAGACTGTGTGCTCTGTCAGTTGATATCAAAACTTCAAAACACTCTGCCAAAAAGGAAAATCTGTTAGATTTAGGAAAAAAAAAAAAAATGTTATGCAATTAAAACCAGAACTCCATAATAATTATACACTGTCTAGAAGATTTTGCTTTATATAAATAGGGTTTGTTAATTTTTATTTTTTTTTTTTTTTAAAGCTGTAAAGTACTAGTACAATAATCCAAAAGAGATGCTGTTTTTCAAATGATGTTAGTTTTTGGAAGAGTGTGATCTCTGTATTATTTGCCTGATGGTTAGAGACATTATATGGCAAAGCCTATCAAAAAGATAATTCATTCAGATTGCTTACTCTATTAAATATTCAGAATGCACAGTTTATGTAATTTTCAAATGGAATTTTATGGCTCCTTACAGTAAGTAGTCTTATTTAAATTTAAACATGACAGCAGAGATTCAATTATTCATTAATTGTTTCATGGTAGTTTGTATACAAATATTTTGAGATTAGTGACTTGTTTCTAGGTTTATAGCTAAAAGAAAGGTTTTTGTGAGAACTGAAGGAACCTTTTGTTCTTTTGGCCAAAAATTATCCTAGGTTTTTGATTTGTAATTATTATTAATATCACTAAAACCAAGTACTAAAAGTCTTCTATTTTATATCCATGGATACAGCATTTTATGAATCATAAATAAACACCCTGGGAGGCTTTGATATGTATTTTTGACAATGAGTGAGAATTCAATAACTCATCACATTATTACATTTCTCATGGAGTCCTAATCGTTAGGAAACCATGGCCTCCATCTGTCCTCATAGACATCATTAGTTGATTGGACATATGATTTTTCAAATTATAATGAATCAAGTCACCTTCATCTTCACTTTGGGTTTGTCATAGTTTTATGTTATACACTGTGGTATTCAAAAACATCTGTACTATTGGCATTCTTTGTTACACAGTTTTCGTAAAATCGTTATTTATGACACTGTGTTCTTTACAATTAAAGCATTACAGGAAAAGTTATCACTGTTGTTGACTCTCTACAAGTGAGCTTTAATAGGCAGTCTTCTAAAATCTGTGATTTCTCAAAAAATCCCATGTATGTAGATAGAGGTGCTTTTCACATAATCTGCCAACAAGGATTGTACAGATTTTATAGGGACAATTTACAAGGACAGAATTATTTATCTGGTCATTAAGGTAGTCTTGTAATTTTTTTAAGTTATCTGTAAAGCTTCATAGGGATTTCTAGTTATTAGAAGCATATAATGAAGGACAGAATAATGATTTATTCCGCTTCACAGAACATATTTAAAGCAGTACGATTGTGGAGCATCTCCTGTGAAATTAATTAAGTTATTTTCAGCTAGATTTTCTTTTAATTTCTCTTAATCTACTCCCTGATTCAGCAAACTACACAAACACGTGTTTAGGGCTTAGCATGTGATGATCTTTGCACATGAATGAAATCTCATTGTCTCAGAAAAAATATTACTAACAGTTGCGATGAACAAAGATTAATTAACCACATTTCTAAATTGTTTGTTGGTTCGGAAAGTGGAATTATATGGATGGAAGAGGATATTACTGCCCATCTCATGTCAATTACGGAAAATGTGAAACAGAAACAGAGAAACACTAGAACTTTTAATGAGTTTTTGTTGTGACATATTTTGAATTCACAAGCCCTTTACTTGAACCAACTTCCAAAAATTCACATGACTGAAAAATATTCTAATATGAATGATCAATACAAATATATATTTTTGTGGTAAAAAAAAAAAATCAGAAATAAAAGCATAGTCAAAAAACATCTCAGACTTACGATAGTGGCATGTAGCTCCCTTGTAACCAGTGTCAGCACAGTTGCAATAAAAGCTGTTCCAGGACTGTGAACATTCACCACCATGTTCACAATAATTAGGCAAACACCTAAATGAAAAACAAAGTACATTTTCATTGTCTTTTCAGTTCTTTTACATGTTGCTTGTGTTTATCAGTGAATGTAAAATCATGAAAAAGAAGTATAACATAAAGTAAGTCTTCAAGCTCATTGCGGAAGGCCTCAGTATGATTACTAGAAAATGAAGAGAATTTCCCTTCATCTTCTCCATTTTTCCAATTGCCCATAATAAATATATTAAATATGCAATAAGCCTGTGAGAACGAAAATAAAGTGTAAGATGCGTAATTTTTACTTATTATCATTCAACTATCTTCAATTTTATATAGATTGATAAATCAATGAATTATTTACATGCTGATAATTCACTGGCAAGTGAAAGGTAGGTGAAGTACGTAAAGTGATATAGGCCATCTATCTTCAAGGAAATTAATGACACTTTTGCCAGTGAAAGATCTGATCTGGTATCTTTTAGCTCATCCACAGAATGAGACAAGTCTGTGGATGGTATGTGTCTGAATGAGCTCTGGTTTGAAACACAAAACCGAACTTTAGCCATTTGAAGAAATTGTATAAATGTGCATAGCAATAATTTTTAGGATAAATGCTTAATTTTGCATGCTATCGATATGACTAGTCATCAGTTATTATAAACATACATCTCCTCTAACATAACTGCTGTTTCAGTCATAGTTTTTCTTCTATTATTCCTTGTTGATAAAGACATAATCATCCTTAAATTGCAAGTGATTTACATAGTCTTTGCTTGTATTGGGTCCCTGTCCATATTAATTAATCTTCCTAATTGCGTTCACAAGATAAAAAGCTTAGATGAAATTAATGACACTTGAACCAACTTTAATAGAAGTCAAAAAAATTTGAAGTATAATTCAAATCTTTTAGCATTAAATTTTACATCTTCCCTCTGTTTCAGAATTTATAATAGAAAGTAGCCACTAGCTACATCAAAGTGAAGCTAGAATTACTTTATATGCTACAACCCTAACCACAGCAAGATCTAGAACAGTGCTTTCTCTGAGGAAACTAGTCTTCTAACAAAAATATTTCTAATATTAGAAGCAGTATTTCTGATACTTCATCTGTAAAAGGTAATTTTTTAATTCATCACTGTCTACTTGAATTAGAAAAAAACCCAGCTGATTAAGCATTTAACCTCATATTACTTGACAGTACGCTTTTAAGTGTATGGCATCTGAAAATGGTCTATGATTTAAAACTAAGGCAGTAAGCTAATAATAATCATAAGCTAATGTTGAAAGGAGAGTACTGATCAAGAACATAAGTATACTTCTGATGAAAGAAAAAACAGGAACTTCATATGTCAATTATCCGTTAAATATTTTTTGTGTGTGGGCATTGTCTCCTTATCATGATTCCAAACTATGTCTAAAAGATATTTTGAAAATAATAACTAGTTGCTGCTATTTTTATTATTTCTCTTTCTTCATCTTCAGTTCAAAAAAATTTTTAACATATAAAACTATTTATTCTGTTTTTTTGTACAAGATACTTCTGACAGGACATCAAAGGTAATAACTCCTAGTAGGCAATCATATGCTTCTGTGTAGGGCTTGATGTAATTATGACAGATTCATCTGGTACTCTCTCCTCAGAGACTGAATGTGCTAACTTTGTAAGGCATTTGGAATGACACTGTGTCTTTTAAAGTTATTTTGTCAATGGTTTATTTATAATTAGTAGTTATTAAACCAATATATATTGATAAAGGACCTGAGAGAAAAAATATTAAGGAGAAATATATGAGGACAATTATTTGTATGCCTAAGAGGTGTATGAGTAATGGAAAAATATAAAGATATTATACAATGAAAAGGCTGAATGATGGATTATGGGAAGAGCAATGACTGGAAGGAATCATAATAATTTAAGCATAGGAGGAGGAATTGGAAGTTAATGGAACTAAGAAAATAGAAAATAGGAAAATGGTAGGGGATTTTTTTTTGTTTAAAGAAGAAAATATTAATAAATTACACTCCGATGAAGAAATGAACAATTAACCAAGCATCTCTCAATGAGGATTATAAATCTGATAAAAAATACTCTACATATGTTAAATAAGTATATATATATGAGATATAAAATTGACTCAGTAGAATTGTTTTCAATTTATTTGCTATTACATATAAATTCAGATCACTATGAACACAGTAATTTTTGTTTGTGTTCATGCACTTTAAATGTGTAAAACTACTACATTTGCTCGGTCATTGCTTCTACTACAAAAGCCATCTGTAACTCCAGAATTTGAGTCATGTTTCACTATTTGGAATTGGAGATGCAAAGACTGTCATAAAGACTAAAAGACAAAGAAGTGATTTGTTTGCCCTCAACTGTAGGGGTGATATCTACATGTGGGAGCACAGTGCCAAAAAATGGTCATTACTTTAGCTTAGAGCAACCAAAGACATGTAGAAATCACCGTAGGAAGAAAATATTTTCTCTCAAATGATACGGTGCATAAGATGATGCAAGCTACCTATTAGAAATTATTTAATACATGTAAGCAATTTTAATGTTGACAAAGAAGAATGTGTCTTTCCAACTGGGATTTATGATGAGATGTAGAATTAGTTTGATAAAGAGAAACATGAAGTTTGCTCCAGATGATGAGCTGCAGATATCAAATGGAATGAAACTGTGGGAGGAAATTGGAAAGAAACAGTCCCTGAAGCAAGCTAACATAAGACTAGGAAGGCTTTTTAAAAACAGTCTATTTTGAAATAAAATATAATGAATGTAATGAAATTGATGAATATGAGTGAACTAAATTTCTATTTTGATAAGTTAGGAAGGCTTATGGTAAGCATGCTGAGCGCTGAAAACTAAACCTGGCGGAGTCAGTGTAAGAAAGGTGCAGTTGTCAAGCTATAAGAAGACACAAATTAACATTAACAAATTTTAGAGAAAACAAAACCAACTAAACAAAACCTTCTCTAAAGACTTTCCCCTCCCACTACCCCCTTTGCTATCATTGATTATGGGAAATCACAGATAATTTTTATGAATTATGACAGTAACATAAACTTCAAAAAAGAGTTAATACAATATCAGAAAGTAATAAAAACATTTTTAAAAAGACTGGCTGGGAATTTTAAGTGGCTTACATAACTCCATACTAAAAAAAAAAACCAGATGGCAGTGGTATTGACATAAAATAAGGATGGTAACTATCTTTGTATGCTATAAAAATTCAGCAAGATAAACCTATGAGGGAGGGTATATACATACAAATCTAACTCTTTTAATGAAGCTCTTAAAAGCAACAAAAAAGCAATCAAAAGGGTATAGCGCAGTTCTGAATAAACTAAACTCATACTGCATAAGAGACAAATGTATGACATTTGGAATAATGTAACTAATGCTGGATTTCTATATACTCAGTCACAGAGTGACTTTATATATATTTACACACACAAACCTCTTTTTAAAAATTCACATGTACACATTTATATGCCATGGTCATTCAAAAGCTGAAAGGAAATGGAATCACTACACGTAAAAATGTACCATCTTCCTTTAAAATTATGGGTAAAACATTTCTGCATTCACGAGAGATGAGATGATTCCTAAAACACAGCTCTGAGATGAGCATTTTAATAGGTCCCCATTTACACCGTACATTGAAAAATTCATATTAAATCAGAGACAGTAATTGGCATCAATTATATCATGAACTAATTTGGTGATGTTTTCAACTCATAAGCTTGCTTAGACTTCCTTTCATGTTTTTGACTAAAGAATATGCAGATCTCTATATTGCATTCTTTTGACCAGATTCCGTTCTTGATTCTGTCTCTTTATGACAGCCAGAAAAAGTAAGCAGTGTAGTGGGAGTGGAGTAAGTTCAAATCCAGTGCGGAAAACCAGCAGTGATACAGTGCTTTAGAAGCTGGAAGGAAGTGTCATGAGATCTATCAGAGGAGAGGAAGAAGACAGTGAAAGAAATTGGAAAAGTGAGAAAATAAGTCCAGACGAGTAGAGTGAGAAAAAGCTAAAAAGAAACATAAATGTATGCTGCATCTCAAATACAAATACCTAACATGTTACTTGGTAAAGTTTTCTGAGGCCAAATTCTGTCTGATCATATGTTTATCACACCTACTGCCTACAGCAAAGACAAGACTCAGTGAGAGATATATTAGCACAAAAAAATTATATATATGCAACTCTATATGTTCTTAAAATGTGATCAATGTAGAAAGATGAGTGAGAACATGCATTATAAACTAAGTGAAATAATCAATGTTGTGGGCAGAATTTCAGCCTTCTTTTGGAGGCTTCTCTCCACAAACTTTTATAAACAATTAGGTAGAGAACTAGTATTGTTTTTATCTTTGATCTACAAGGCATTGTGATTTTCTTCGAAATAATAACCTGGATAGACATACATTGTGTTGTCTCTGTAAATGAAAAGCAGGTCACAGAAATATGTCTGTGTGAATCTGAAATTGGCTGTGGTCTTGAAGCAGGTTTCTGCTTGCACTGGTTTTCCCAATGACAGTTTCTGCTGCCTGTTTTTTCATTTCAGTACAGCTTTTCAGATTAGTCCAAAGCAACCATTTCAGGATGAAATTTGCACAGACTTAGCACAGATGCCTATGACTCTGTTCTCCTAAGTCTACAGCAGAAAACTTCTCCTCCCATTGCCCATTCCTGTGTCTGCTCGCTGTCTTCTCAGCAGCCTCTGCTGTCCTGTCAACACCCCTTTTGGCTCATCCTCTGCCCTCTCCACACTGAACTCCAGGAATGTCTTTCTGTCAAGCATTTCAATCTGTTTCAGGGAAGGTATATAGTCTTTCCTCTCTCAGAGGGAGCCACTTAAACTAGTCACTCTCTTTTAGATAGATGCTAATACCACCTATTGCAAGTTATGAGATTAGTTTTGACCATAGCCTAAAAAAGATTGCTCACTCCCTGTGATGAATACTATCTACAGTGTTTCTGGATGGGAAGAATATAGGAAACATCAATAACTTGTAAAGAACATAGCATTTCAAAGGGTGAATGGGACTACATGTCACAGGAGGGGGTTTGTGTCTACAGCTCTACTTGAAAAGACAGTAAGATATTTAAAATGTGTTGGAAACATCAAATAATTTTAACCTCAGTTACTCTAATTTTATTTGCAGTTCATGAAAATCTAATTGCTATGCTATGTATGCTGCATTTATTCTACACTTTTGAATTCTAACAAAAACTGCAGCATGACATTTTGTAAGCATTCTGTTCTTTGTTATCAAGTCAGTATTGGAAACAAAACATTCAAATAAATAAATATTATTTTCTTACCTGTCTATAATGCCACATAAATCTATCTGAAGGTCACTGAAATTGCCGAAAATATTTTGCTGAACTGAGATCATATCCACAGCTTTGTTACCAATGGAAATGAGTCGCATGCATCCTTGAAAGCCACCAAATGAGGTATTACATTCAGAAATGTTTCCATCACTAGGACAGCCTGAAAGAAGCATAAAACTTGGAGCTGAAAAAAATATTTTATTAAAAAAATAATATAGTACAAAACTAGATTGAACTTTGATAATCTCCAGGTATTGTAAACTTTGTGAGTGAAAGACTTAGCCAGAAGCTCTTCTGAATAGGCATGGTGGTGCAACTATGAAGAAATGCTACTGTGCTGTCTTAGTGTTTTTAAAGCATGTGCAAAAATATCACTAAAAATTTGGGTAAAGGATAACCCAATCAGCATTTCTAAAGCAATGAATGGAATCAAGATGTGAACATATTGACTGACTGACCTTAGTCACAAAATGTTAAGTTACGATACCAGGTGTAAATGATTTGGATATGTTTTAAGTCACAACTGAAGTCAAATAAGACAAAAAATAATTACTAAATACAGTGATTTTCATTTATCAAGCTGTTCAGAAGATTCTGGAAAGTACTATTTCTTGATGCACGTCATCAATAACTCAACTAGGAGAGATACTCTGTTGGACCTGCTACTCACAGACAAGGAATAAATGGTTGAAAATGTGGAAGTCAAGGACAGTCTTGGTTACGGCAAACATGAGGCTGTGGAGTTTATGATCCACAGAGAAAGGAGCGAGAAAAAAAGCAGAATTACAACCCTGGACTTCAGAAGAGCCGATGTTGGTCTGTTCAGGAAGTCTTTTGAGCATTTGATTGGAAATTGCCTTGGAGGGCAAAAAGGCTGGATATTTTTCGACAAAAATCTCTTTGGAGCATAGCGACAATCCATAGAGATATCATAATAGTTAAGGAAGTGAGGCAGAAGATCTCCCATGGAGATCCTGAGTGTGTGCAAACACAAAAAGAAAGTACACAACAGGTGGAAGCAGGGACATGTAGTTTGGAGGAGAATACAAAGACATTACCTGCAAATCGAGGAATGCAGTTAGGAAATTCAGACCTCCGGTGGAGCTAAAACTATCTAAGAAGGTGAAGTGCAACAGAAAGGTTTCTATAGGTATAACAGTAGCAAAAGGAAAGCTAAGGAGATTATAGGTTCACTACTCCATGGGAAAGGGACCTAGTGATAAGGGTCTTGGGAAGAATCAATTTGCACAAGGCCTTTTTTATTCAGTCTTCACTGGTCGAACATCCTTACGCTTCCCATGTCCTAGCAGAGAATGAAGAAGGGAAGTAGTACCCAAAATAAAGAAGTAAAGAGTCCAAGGGGCACCTGAGGATGCTGCAGGAGCTGGTCAATGACATTGCAATACATTCTCTGGAGGTGTTCAAGACCAGGTTGGACGGAGCCTTGAGTAGCCTGGACTAGTTGAGAGGCATCCCTGCCCATGACAGGGAGGTTGGTTTAGATGACCTCTGAGGTCCTTTCCAGCCTATGTCATTCTATGATTCTATGATTGCAACAGGTGCCGTTGTCGTTATGAAGCCATTATCATTTTAATCTTCAAAAGATTTTGGCAATTTGGTGAGTTTCTTGGCTGGAAAAGACAGATGTTACACTCATCTTCAAGAAAGGCAAGAAGGAGAACACAGGAAACTAGAGGCCAGTCAGCCTTGCTGCAGTCCCTGGCAAGTTCATGGAGCAAATTCTCTTAGAAACCATTTCTAAACATGTGAAGGACAAAAAGGTAACTTGGTAAAATGGGCTTCAAGGCTAAATCATGCCTGACCAAGAACTTTGTTTTCTTTGATGAAGTGATGGGCACTGTGGACAAAGGGAGAGCAGTAAGCATTGCATACCTTGACTTTAGCAAAGCCCCTAACAGTTTTCTATAGTCTCCCTATCACCATATTGACGCGATATGGGTGGGATAAGAGGACAATTTATAATGCAAAGTCCCTCTGATGGTCAATGAACAGAGGGTCCTTCAAAGAGCAGTACTGAGAGCTGTAGTGTTTAATGTCTTTACGGTCTGATGACAGGACAATGCACTTTTAGCAAGCCTGTGATGGATACCGAATTGGGGGCAGAGGCCAGATTTTGGAGGGCAGGGCTGCAAGTCATAGG